ACAACATCACAGGGAATGACGCCAGCATGGGCACTGATGCCGATGCCAAGCCAGGTGACGAGCCTTCGGCTCACCCTGGGGAGGAGGAAGCTGATGAGCCAGCAAACGATCCCACTGATGTGGTCAGGGAATCAGAGATGTCGGGGAGACAACAACTTTTGGATGCGTTGGGAAAACTCTTCACTGTCTCTGAGGATGTCAACGTGTGCTTGTATTGTGGTAGCACCAAACATGGCCATCTGGAATGTGAACATGAGAAGAGAGATGAAGTCAGAAAAGTGCTAAAGGCCGTCCGAGCTTCGCTCGAGGCTGATAGTCCCACATCTGATGACGTCGATATGGAGCCTCCTGAGCACAAGAAGGACGGTTCAGGTGCTACTGCAGGGTCGGGGCAAACAGATGAACCTACAAAATCGAGGTTTAGCGAACACCAATGGTATGACAGCATCAGAACTATGTCTGAAGTTGGTGACCTCGATGAGTATGGTAAATTCTGCATTGAAGGACGTGATGTTACAAAGCTGGGACCACAGAACGTTGTTGACCTCAACGAAGTGATCCGAGACGCTATCGTCAGAGGAGGAGGTGACACTTGGTCAGTGCCAGACTTTATGGCAAGCTACTCTGACAACAACATCAGGAAGACCTTCTACAAACGTGTCGAGGCGCCGCAAGATGGTTTCTTGAAAATCATCCCAACCACAGGGGCCCATTTCTTCAATTGCTCCTACTTTGGCGGCGTGGAATATGCGACCAACTACCGCTTCGAGACTGGCAACCGACTCGATGCCTACGAGGACAAGGTGAGTGCATCACTGAACAGGATCCTACGGCACAATGTGGGGAAGGTATCAGAGCAACAGAGTCTGCCCTGTGATGACGCCGGCTGGGTGCCCATCGAGGAAGTGCTCAAATGTGAGTCCATCTGGAGGCACGATTATGCACGCTGGCCACATGTATTCCTTGCCCCAAAGGGAAGAGCAAATGATCAGAGGGCATGGAATGTCGACGAGGCGAACTTTCGCATGACATTGCTCTTCAAGATCATGTTCCACTGTGCCAGGTATGGACGTCGTGTGCGTGAACAAGTTTTGGCATTTGGGATCAACAAGGATATTGATCGCCGCAGCCTGACGTGCATTGACAACAATGTCGACGCGGATACGCACATTCCTGATGAAGGTCTACTGCTCTATCCAGTGGCAGTTCGTGCTCCTACGGGGCACAAAGAAGGATCTTCAAGAGACGACGTTTCATTGCTGTCCTCGCTGCTTTCACATCCAATCGCACCCAACACTGTTTTGTCATTACCGGTTTGTTTCCACATCACCAAGAAGACCAACCTTCGAAGCATTTGGAGGCAGGGATTAATTCCAGGAGGTCTTGGAGAAGGTCATCGGATGTTCACGTTCTTCAACCCGTGCGTCCCATGGGATCACAGATCATGGACCATCACGAAGAGCGTTGATACGCGTAAGGGTGACTACATTTGCTTGTTCATCCCGACCGAGACCTTGATGGTGGAATATGGCGGTCGACTAACTGGCTCGGGACAGATCGTTTCACCAAGGATCATCCCATTCTCGGCAATCAAAGGTGGATGGATTCAGGACCCCAGGGATCAGTATAACAAGACATGGCTCCGGTTGTTCGTCCCTTCGGGCGACGACCAGGTAGTCCGGTCTGGAACTATCAAATCAAGAACGGTAGCCACTAAGGAGTCCATCCTGAGAGTTGCAAGTCAGTGTATCGACGCCGAAGACCAACCGTTTGACGAGATTGCCATGGATGCCATGAACATCGTCAACCAATTCAAGAACAACCTCATCGAGCCTGGCGGACAAGAACAATACCTGGCCCGCATCAAGCTGATTGACTACATAGTCGAACGCAAAAGGGTGCAAACTTCAGGTTGCCGCCATTGTCCTCACTGTATCAATGAGACGCCGACAAAACTGGCAGTGTGCATAGTTTGCTGGACAGAACTCGAGAGTTGCGGGATTCGTCCATATCGGCTACAAGCTCCTGAAGACGATGAAGATGAGGCCACAAAGAAAGAGCTCGATGAAGAAGTTCGTCGACAAGAAGAGTCATTGTTCAAGGATACGGTCAATCAAGCACAAGAAAACGTATCCGAATCCAATGATTATGGTTTCAATCCTGACGAGGTCGACTACAATGAAGGCGACGATGAGGAAATGGACCAGGAGGAGGAAGCTCAACGGGAAGAAGACGAAATCATTGAAGAAGACGATGATGAAATGGACGTCGAACCTGATGATGAGCCCTCTACCAAACTTCCAGCATGGACCAAGAATCTTGAGAGCGGCAGCAAGGGTATGCCAGAAGACGGTCTTATCAACAATGATGTCTCCGAGGCCGCGGCTCACTTGTATGACAATGCTGTCATGTCAAAGGTCATCACAATGTTCAGGCACTACTACAACCAGAGAGTCACTATGACCCCTGAGGCGTACCATGTGCTGATGACGGAAACCAGGCGAGTCCGACTGGACCTGGACGACTTCTGCCCCTACACAGGCGAAGACCCGGACGGCAACCTCAAGCGGCCGACGGAGCTGGAATTGGATGAACTCTTTCAGGAGAAAGGGAAAAGGAACTCCTGGTCAGAGGGGGAGAAGATGTACTCAGGACGACCAAGAAACATGATGATGCCTGTCATCAAGAATTTGGAGATCTATGAAAAGATGATGGAATTTCTGGTCTGCGCCGGGTACACTCCCGAATCATTGGGTTTCCTCATGCCAATGAACCGAATGCAGGCTGATGCCCAAGGGAAACAGGAGATGCGAGTAACCATCAGCAATTTCCTTCGACGACTGCTCAAAGGAACATTTCCGGAGCACGAGTCGTATACCTTCTTTCGCTCTGGGAGCCACGGCTTCCCCAACTGCATCGAACTCCCAGCATTCTCAGTATATCTGAGCCTGAGGGAGAAAGAACAGAGAGTAGAGTTGCTCTTCGCCGCCCAACAGTGTGGCATTCCTTTGCCTCAAAACTTTGTTAGCAAGATGGCTTATGCTATTCAGCTGGCCGAGGCCGAGGCGCAGAGGGGGAAGACCGAGATGAAAACGAAGATGGCTCCAACCCTTGGCGACGAAGTGGTGGGTGAAGTATTCAAAGCAGTTGGACATACTGCAGCTTCCAAGTTTGCTAAACCACCTGCACAACCTTCACAGACACCTGAAGGCACTGGTTCAGCATCATCATCATCGGCTAGTGCACCAAAGGGCAAGGCTATGCCGAAATCCCATGAACCATCAAAGGCACCGCCTGCAAAGCCCTCATCGCCGAAAGCTGCTCCAAAACGTGCGGCAGGATGGGAGAGAACTCCAACAGCACCTCAATGGAAGAAAGTCCGCCGTGAGCAGTGAACTTATTACCTCTGTCCGCCAAAATGGTCACTGAACTACAAGATGTGTATCGTCTTTGTAAACAGATGATCAGGAAAAGACCAACTGAGTGGACTCTGAGCGAGGCAGTAGACTAATTCGCTTAGGTTCAAGACTTTTGATATTCCCAATCTGCATGAAATTCTGCAATGTGCACGTGAATTCGTTAGTTAGCATTGTAAATCTTTGGTAGCGAAGTGACCCATTTCTCCCTACGGGTGAGTGGCGAGCTGAGCCAGTGTAGATAAGTAGATATTAGCTAGCAATAATTCGCGTTGTACAGCTTGATGAAGCGCCGATGCATCGACAGCCAGAGAGTAGGCGAACCCTGAACCATTATTCCCTTCGGGAATGTGGGGAAGGGGGAACCGAATGGCATGTTTTATGTACATAGGCGTAATTCAAGTAGCAGAAACAATCTAATTCAAAGTTCCCTCTCTCGTGTCCGTGGTTCGAAGAATACCACGGGCATGGGGGGTGTCAAAGGGAACGTAGTAACAGCACACAAACAATTCATGCATGGGACGCCATCTTGGCTCAAGACCCCACGCGTGTGCAAAATAAGTGTTCGCCGTCCGCCATGATTAACGGGTCCGGGAACTACCAGTGAAGCGGGCACCACTTGAACTATAACATCCAGAACAAGGATCGATTTGTTCACAATATATATATATATACACTATATATATATATATAGATAGATAGTTTTTGAGGCATAACCTCACTCAAGGGTATCTTCAAGGTTAGTGTTACGCAAAAAGTTGGTTTTGAGCGCCTAGGCTTCCACCGTACAGTGGCAGCTTTCGTGAGGCAGGACGACACAGAAAACCATTTAATGGAGATAGCCTCTGGTAAACTAACGTAGCTGAAAATCTGAATTTTCGTAGCTAAAACATATACATATATATATATATATATGTTTAATAGCTGTGCTCGTTTACCAGAGGGTATATATATAATGTGTATATATATATAAGATAGATATTATATATATATATATATTGTAATACTATTGTTTAGATTTTAAAATGGGTATTACATCCTCAAACACCACACCATTGAAATCCACTAAATATCTCCCTTTGTACAATCCCAATAAAATAAGTTGGGGACGGCCCCATCATTGCTATTTGCAATTCTGGTGAAAAGTTCTTTTTCATTTGATGCAGCGCAACTTTGTTGTATTGATTCCTTCGGCGCGGTTTGGCATTCAGAACGCACGGTTTAAAAACTTCCCGTTCAGAACGTGCGGTTGGAATGAATCCTTTTTCGTAAGCTTGGGGTCTTTCTTGAGTCTTGGAATTTTTTTGCTGACTGAAACCTTTTGCCACAAAACAAAAAAGGATTTGCAGAGCTCTTTTTGGCTTCAAAAAGGCGAAGGCCTTCTAGTTTTGTGCCTAGAGAAGATCTCCAAAAGTTGTTTAGCTGCATGGTGTTTGCATGTATCACGCGCTAGATATCATTAAACCCCCTCGCGTGATGTCACAGGAGGATTCTAAGGTTCACTTTTTTCCACATTTTGCCATGAGGTCAACTCATTTCACAATGGTTTCTACATGTACAGTTTTGCTCAACACAGGACATCGGATGTTTTCAACACCCAGCACCAGTTTGCAGTGTTTGTTGGCGTTACCTGAACCGCAATCCAATGGACCACCATTTTTTTCACCATCGGCCTTGGCGCAGTTTCCATTCTATGGTGCTGGTCAGTTGGGGAACCGAGATGTTTTCTGTGGCGTGGTTGGCACAAATTCCGGATTGGTAGTTTTACAGATTTTGTTCGCTGTTTTTTTTCATGTGCCATCCTGCTTCGGATGGCTATCCCACTTGGCTCAACCTGTTTTTATCTGTTTTTGAGGGGTCGACACCAGCAATCAGATGGTTTTTTGGTCCAGGAAATGGTCGATCAACAGGGGTGCAGGTCTCACATCCGATGATCTGTGCGTTGGTACCACTGGTACCTTTCCACACTTTGCAAGGCATGTGCGAAGATATGTCGTGACGTTCTGACCTAAACGAAGTCTTCAAACTCTTGTTTTCTGTGGCAGTAGTGTGCTGCCAACATTTTGTTGTAGCCAATTTCACAGAAACCAACCGCAGCAATGGAGCGGTTGCGACAAACCACAAAGGGTAATGAATCATGGTGATTGGAATTTCATGGTTTAGGGAAGAAGCAATGCTAAACCATGTTAACGCTAGTTGCTAAACTGTGGTATCCGAATGCTGCTAGTTGTGACTTTAGTGTTCCCTCCCAATGGTGAAACCATCCTGGCTCACCGGGGAGGGCGGACAGTATTTAACAGTTGTTTGGAATACATCTATGGTACCATATATGCCCCAGTTTATTAAACATATTCTATACAGTCCATACATTTCTATACATATATTCCAGTTATATTCCAATTATTCCATATATTCCAGTTATAATTGTACATATATTCCAATTAGATTAATGGAATCTAGTAAGGTCCAATGGATCAGATTTCGCAGCAAGCGCCAGCTTCGCAAGGCATTGGCAGCTTTCTGGCGCCCCTCTTGGAGGTGACATTCCTCCAGGACCGAAAAAAATGGTGGAAGGATGGCAGGTGAAACATGGTGAAGCGGCAAGTTTCTATATGTTTAGAGATTCTGGTTGGTGGTTTCAAACATGAATTTTATTTTCCATAATATATGGGATAATCCTTCCCATTGACTAATATTTTTTCAAGATGGTTAAAACCACCAACCAGGATTGGTTTGTTTGAACATAATATGGTATTCCAAATTGTTGATGATCATGAATCATGATTTTCTTTTAAGATCGCTGAAAATGAGGCTACACCCAATTTTCAGACCCAGATAACCAGATACTGGTAGAGGGAGAAAATGTGTTTCTTTGTTTTCAGATACAGTATATGGGTTGATAAATGTAGGCAATGTGTTTTCTCAGACTCTATCATTTGAGTTCGTTGATAAATGGGTTTGTTTAAAACCGTTGGTATGGAATTATAGTTCTATTGGGTCCATGTTATTTTGTCATTGTCCGGACCATCCCGAACTCAACATTGCCACTTGGATCCATTTGGGACATGTTCAGACAGATCCAAATAGGTAGATTCCAAATAGGTAGATTCCAAATTGAATAGGTAGATCCAAATAGGTAGATTCCAAACAAATTGATTATTTGTAGGGCTTGAAGGGGTCATTTTACATCTGTGTTTTACCCAGTTTTCAACTCACCTGTGTTCACGCCATTGGATCAGTGGTGTTGGGAGCAGCCCTGATTACTGTTGGTTGGCCAAGGTGTTTTCTTTTGTAGTTCTGTGTAGCCGACATTACTTGGAATGAACATTGGTTAGCATGTTTCAATGGGCATTAAAAACTTGCTAGTTTCAGTTTCATGCTTCTCCACTTTTGGCATTTCCCCTCGGACCGTTGAGCAGTCTCAAAAACCATAGCGTTGGTTGATGATTAAATTATATCAAATCAAATTATATTAACATATTAGAGTGGTTTGCACTACCGAATATCTGGGATTATCATAATTGTATATGGGAATCCACAGATGCGGGGATGATTTTGCCTGGAAATCTAAATTACATGGATGATGTTCTTCTTGAACATGGGGGGTTCCATTGTCAGGCCTCCCAAAGAGTAAAAGCTATCCATTTCCAACCAGGAGCTATTGGTTCTGGCCACCTTCGCCTTTTCTTTTACTTTGTGGCCAGCCTGGGGGTTTAGGTCCTGGTGAACTCTAGCCACAAAACATGTCGCCATGTGTCCTCCAAAGTCTGATAAACATGATGGAATGCGACTTGGTATTGGTTTCTACATGTTTCTACTTGGCAACACATATGGGAGGACCCATTTGCAGGTCATTTACAGTAATACGAACTCGTCCCGTTGATATGTCCGTTGATCATTCTTTGCGGATGTCCCTTTGCGGATTTGTCATTTCATATCCCCATGTTCACGAGTTGTTTGCCCATTGTCCCAGACTTGGTTTCAGTGAGGATTGCCAACCTAAAGTGCTGATCGCAGAAACACTACAAAACGGTAACAACCCGATGTTCTATCAAATTTGTGCGGCAACAACTAAATTGAAACTAGCCAACTAGCCAAAGGTTTTGGAGTTAAGAGATGCGTTGAGAAGAGAGATGAAGTGGTTGATCCCCATCATTGAACTGGTTCGTATGGACACGTCCCCCTGCTCGGCCAATCCCTTGCCAAGTTTAGTCTTGACCATGGAAGTTTTGTTGATACTATATCAACTACTGGTTTCAATGGCAAAGGAATTCTGGTGATGGGTAAATCAGGCCATGTGAAAGCCTTTACTTTGGGGGAAATCTATAAAACGTGCCTGGCTGGCGTCCCCAATAACCTAAAAAACAAATCACCATCAGAACTGGTTGGTGGTTTGGAACATTTTTTATTTTTCCATATATTGGGAACAATCATCCCAACTGACTAATATTTTTCAGAGGGGTAGGTCAACCACCAACCAGATAAACACAAGGCCCCCCAACGATTTTGTCCATTGAGAATCTCACAAGCCAATCGTTTTCTGAAAAAACCTTTCCAAAGATAATGGTAAAGATGTGTTCGGAAAATTATGTAAGCAACATCCAGACATGAATCCATCTGAAAAAGAATTCTGACAGTGAATCATAAATCCAGAAAACATGATTCTATAAGAGATGAAGCTCACCAAAATCTTGATTGTTTCCATAGATTTTCATAGATTTCCATAGATGTCCATAGATTTTTCCCATAGATTTCCCATTGATCAATCATAAATCTTGATTTTTCCCATAGATTTCCATAGATATTGATGGAAAAAAAGTGACCTCCCAAAATCTGAAAATCTGCACGTTCCCGCCAGGCGCCGCCTGAAGCCAGCGCGAAAGGAGGCGCTGTTCGCTTCCTGTGCGACGAAGCGGGGGGGCCTAGGATGGCGGCGTGGAAAGACACAAAGTTGAGATGTAAAAATTGTAAAATTATGGTGCCTTGGGACTTCTTGGTGCAGTTTTTTTCGCTTTCGACAGCTTTGTTTGATGATGGTTTTCATTCTTGGATTGTTTTTTGGATATGATTTTTGACTGTTTTTTGACATGATTCCAAGGTTTCCCATATGCTCCATGTATGGTATATTTACCTACGTTTGGGTGATTTTTAGGGAAAATGTTGGCAAATATACCATACATGGAGCATATGGTTTGTGTATGTTGAAGATTCTCGCGAACTATGGGGATGATAGACTTGACCTTTTTAGGAACGCAGAGATCGCTGGCTAGTCAATCTGCAGGGATATCATGGTCACGTCGGCTAGTTACGAACCATGTTGAAAAACAGTGAAAAACATGTCTGGTGGCTTATGATGGGGGATTTTACTAATTACCCAATATACTGGGGGTTATCCTAAGCTGTGGGATTTCCTTTTGGCCAAGCCCGTATATCATGGAATGACAGAGGGTTTTTGCATGTTTTTGCACATTTCTTTGTACATTTTGTACCGTATGGTTGATGGATGCGGTGTGACTAGCTATATCCCATTGGCTATCCCACGATGTGTCCCAGTTCTTTGTATCCGCACTACTGTTGGTTGTAGGATTCCTACATACACTGCGTGTCCCACAACCTTTTTTAGTCGATGGGTTTTTCGAATGGTTTATAAACTCGCTATTTTTGCTTGGTAGATCTGTTGAACTAGTTCATAAGTGCCTTGTAAACACACCTATAACGGACTCACCACCTTGGATCCTGAGGCCCAAAGATGGCCTCCCCGTGCCACAAAAGGCGCGTTAAGCCGTTAAGCGCGTTAAGCGGGTGTACTTGTGGGTCATGGTGGCTTTTTCTCGGAATGGAATCAAATACAACTGGTTGGTGGTTTGGAACATGAATGAATGTTATTTTTCCATATATTGGGAATAATATGAATAATCATCCCAACTGACTTTCACTCCATCATATTTTTCAGAGGGGTAGGTCAACCACCAACCAGATAAGATGTGAAGTGATGTGAAAACCAAGTGAAAGGTTTTCCAGCTTTCCAATGGGATTGATCCACGGAAATGTGAAGATTTGCACTTCCAAACAATGACGGTGTACTTGGGCCTGGGTTAATGTTTAATGTCCTGGGGACAACATACATCAATCAGTTTTAAAGCAGGGACCCATCTCGAATTTGGGGAATTTAATTTGCTTTTGCGGACCAAAAGCCGTGTTCGCGAAAGGGTCGTGTTTTCTTTAACGATTCAGTTTTCGGTCCTGTGAGCTCCTGTGGGACATGCTAATGTGCAGTGCTATGTTGATGAGGATGGTTGGGGGGTCGTCTGTGCGCAGATGACGCGTTGACCCGTAGGATTGGGTTGGTTTGGGGGTGAGGTGAGACGGTGTAACGTTCATGTTAACTTGCACACAGACACACGCGCACACACACACACACATAGAGACTGGATGCTACACTGGATTCAGTTTCATGTCTTGTACACGCAGTAGATGCTGCGCCGGATTCAGCTTCATTTCTTTGCACAGAGGCTGTGGTCGCTTGTTCTACGGCTGCGAAGATTGTGGCAATCATTTTGATGGGTTGAGCTTCAGCTATCTCCTAACTTTTTGCCCGCATTTGGATTTAGTTGTGACAGGGCTACAGGTATCTACAGGTGCACTTTGCAGCTAAAACTTGGAAATTAAATGGACCTTATATAAAGGATTATAAAGGAATTCTATGAAATCCCATAATAAACAGCCATCCAAGTTGGCTATCTACAGTCAGCATCAGCCATGCCTCGAAGCTGTGACTCTCAGGTTTTGAAGACTCAAGAGGATTTTACAGAAGAGGAGCAGGTGGACGTTTTTTTTAAATGTGAACAGATGGAGGTGTCCAACATTGTCCAATGTCATGGGGGTACCCCAAATCATCCAAGTCAGTAAACTGTACCCTCTGGTAAACTAACATAACTATGGAAAATCACAATTTTAATGGGAAAATCCACTATAAATGGTCATTTTCAATAGCTATGTTAAATTACCAGAGGGTAGTATTGAAACCCATGATTTCTTGGGATCCCCCACTTTATGAAACCCGCAGATGGGGCCAAAACATGCTAAAGCGAAAGAATATCACCTATCCGACCTATCCTCTGGCAATTGAAAATCCCTAGAGCCTTAAATGGAAAGTTTTCTGAACAAAAACATCTATTGAACGGGGGAATGTTCATTGCCATGTTTGATTACAAAGGTCAAATACCCGCAATGACAATTGGATTGATGCTTCATCCATAAGCTGCGGTAATGGTGGAAAAGGTCTGCATACACAATCCATAATGATTGGGAATCGGAAGAAGCTCAAATTTCAGCATGATTTCCGGCAGAAGACTGTATCATTATAGCATATTATATCAATTTATATCATAGATTATCAATTTTAAACAATTATATTATATATAATAATATATAAATTTATAGATTATCAATTGTTGGATTCCACATCCCCACTTCTTCGCCTCTTCAGCCGTTGAAGACCTGAAAAAACCTGAAAAAACCAGATGCGCGAGATCATCAGGTTTTAAAACAAATAGAGATCATCCGCCAACAAAAAAACACTAAAAAAACACGAAACGTGATGTTTTGTGATTGTAGGTATTTGATGATATTTGATGATATTTGATGATATTTGTAGATCATGTTGCCGTTGGATAAACTTTTACACAGATGTTGAAAACCCGTGGTGGTGGGTTTTCCACATCGAACTCTTATTTCAAAAAGGAGGGTATTTGATTTCACATGATTTCAGATTTGTGACGAACAAAGCCCCAGCTCACATGGAAACCCGCTGTGATCAAGCTGCTTCAGGAACATGCCAAAACGACTGAGAAGGAGATGCAAAACTTGTTGGCACGGGTCCCAGGAATTGGTACGACAGGACGGTTTGAGGGTTGGATGGCAGTTGCAGAAATTTTGAATGTTGAAGATAGATGACATTCGTATCCATTCATCCTCTACAGGTGATTGGTTCAATTGACTCATTGATTGTGTTTGTATCGTTTTTGGGCGCGAGTCAAACTTTTAGAAGCTACCGCAGCTATAGCTGTTGTCCAAATATGAGGATCTGATGGCCAACTACGGATGGGAACCACCCCTTGCTACTTCATCTTGTTGGTTGCTACAGAGATTTGGCGTGTTGAGATGGGTTGACTCTGATAGTGATAAGCCCCAAATAATCAATAAACATACCATCTGGTTATTTAACATAGCCATGGAAAATGGCCCATTTATAGATGATTTTGAAAATCGGGTGTGTCAGGAACAGGAGAGAAATGAGTTGGAGCAGGAAGGTTGGCATGGTGCAATCGTAATGCTTCTCTCGGAAAATCACTCGGCTGATCAATCGGCATTTCTTGATTTGTGCGTGTCTCCTTCTGCTTCAATTCTCCTTTTCTTTCTCCTTTTCCTTCTCTTTTCTACTCACTCCAACTTCTATTCAAACTTCTTTCAAAATCAAATCGGCCGTTCTTATTCTTGTTCTCAAAAATTGCCTTCGCTTACACTTCTCGATTTGTCACTTCTCGATTTGTGCAGCTCAGTGCAAAGCAATTGACATGGGAATGCAAAATGCACAGCAAAATGCACGGCGCCCTTTTTTCACGGGTCTTGAGCCACAATTCGTGGCGAGGTTGAAGTCATGACCAAACGTCAAGGTTTGAAGACTCTGTGGTTGAATCTGTCATCAAACGTCAAGCTTTGCAGAAACTGTCTGAACGACAGGCAAGAGGCAAAACACTCCTCCTCAAAAGCTGTGAGCTTCGGGAACTGATTTTTGATTGATCAAAGCTTTGCCAGGACATTCAGTTTCTGCCGGGATTCTTCAAGCTTACATCGTTGCAACACTTTGGTCAAAGCATCTGAAGGGATGTCTGTGCCAGGAATGTGCTGAATGGCAAATCCTTCAGCATGGGCCTGGTCCCGGATGTAAGCACACCTCATGCCAAAGTGGCGTGTGCGAGTGGGCACCGTAGTGTTGGATCCCTTGACCAAATTGGCTACACAAGCAGCGTTGTCACTGCCGAGGAAAGTTTGTATTGGCTGGCCGAGAACTTTTTGCAGAAGGACCTTCACTGGAACACCAACCTGACAAGCAGAAGCTCCAGCATCGACTTCAGCTTCAAAGGCGCTCCAAGCAGTGAGAGCCTGTCTTTGAGATTTCCAAGACAGAATGTGGTCACCCCACTTGATTACCACTCCAGTGCGGCTACGGCTGGCTCCTGGGGCCAGGCTAGCATCTCCAAATAGCCACAGGGAATCATCAAAGCAAGACTCCGGGAAGCAAGGCGCAAAGAAGACACCATGGTTTCGAGTGCTGCTCAAATAGCGCCAAATGCCTTGACATAACTTCAGTGCAACTCCGGGATGGATAGCTGACAAGCAGGCCACAGAGCCGACCGTGGCGGCGATGTCTGGGCGACTGCGCAAGGCAAGCCATTGCAAACACCCAACTTCACTCTGGGCTTTCCGCAAAACCTCAGTGTACTGCTGATCGCGGGTCATTGGCTCCAACGTTCCTTCTGGAACAGCAGGCAGTGAGGGACTGCCTTTCATGTGAAGCCAGCCTCGCTTGTTCAATTCTTGGATCAGCCAAGACGTTTGATGTAAAAGCACACCATTGTCGGGACACCTGCGGATCTTGACCCCCAAAAAGTTCAGCTCTTGCTGGACAGGGACGCTCTCGTCACCAACTGGGACGACTGATTCGCCACCAAGCGCGTGGCTGGTCAAGAAACCTTGACACTTCAAATCCCACAATGTTTTCAACTCAGCTCCTAAGGATACCAGCACTTCACGAGGTCCAACCAGCAAGCCATCATCCACATACATCATGAAAAGCCCAACACATTCTCCATCTGCCTGCAGAAGCCATGCGCCAGACTCTAGAGGCTGCATTACAACACTGCCAATGGAAGTGTTGACAACACGGTGGTCCAACATTCGATTTCTTTCTTCTTCCCATAATTTCGGCGCTTTTCGCAAACCATAGATTGCACGCAAAGCAAGCCACAGCACATGTGGAGCTATAAGGCCCATGCGGACCAGTGATGGAGGGGGCCGAATCAAAACTTTGTCATCACCGAGCTCAACATTCAGGAAGGCGCAAGCAATATCCAACACCAGTGCAACCCATTCTGGGTGCCTCACCAACATGGAGATCAGGAGGCGCACAATTTCCTGTGATGGGTTTGCAGAAGAGTTCTCAAGCATGTGAGCCTGTGTATCTGCTTGGTAATTTCCACAAGCCACCAACCTCACCTTGGCCTTCCATGAGCTGTGAGCTACTGCAGAAGCGATTGATGCCGAAGCTTCACTTGGAGCAGGGTCCATCATCGGCTTCCGGGTAAGCACCAACTTGCTTGGAACAGGAATTGGCAGTTCTGACGTGGACGTCAAGCCAAAGAAGTCCTTTGCTTCTTCACGTGTGACTTCGCGAAGAACTTGTTTTTCCATCATGTTGTCCAGCTCTGCCTGAAGTCCATTGATCCACTTGGCTCTCTCCTCCTCAGAGGTGTCATCGCTCCACAAAACTGATTGGGGAACTGCTTCAGCTGAGGTGACAATATCTCGGCTTTGTGCCTCTGTCTGATTCATATCTTCTTCCAAATCAAAGGAGAGAACATGGTAACGGATCCTCTCATCTTGGTTGGACATGTGACTTGAACTGTCGTTGGCCTTGACAGCCTTGCAGGCGAACTTTGGCTCGCCATGGTCTAAAGACAGGAGGTAGCCATGACCAAATTTGCAGAAATCACTCCAGGATGGCTCAGTGTTGCCCATCTGTTTCTTGACCAGTTCAAGAACGTCCCCAGCGCTAAGGTCTGGACCAGCTGTTCTTTCTTCAAAAGTCAGCTGTGGCTGCCCATCTGCTGGTTCATCCCAGCAGAGCTCTCCTGTGTTTGACACCCACACCCTTTGGTCATCCTTGCTTTCAAGCCGCCATGTTTTTGCAGCGGTAGGCGCAACCAAGGGCATGCGGGTCTTGACAATCTGACCACGTTCGCCTGACGGGCGCTTCATCAGGACAAGGGCGCCATTGGGGATAGTTTCATCTTCGCAAAGGAAAACTGCTTCGTCCAATCTGCTGGTGAAATTGTCAGCAGCTACTTTCCTCACCAAAACTTTCTGGCCCACTTTGGGCAGAGCAGCTGGAATGGGCAATCCGAGGGCTCGCTGTCGAGCTATGAACACTCCATGTCTTGCAGCAAAAGGCCAAAAAGCCAAAGGCAAACTTCCATGCAACAGACAGCGTGTGGCGTCATCTTTGACTTTCTGCACCATCCGTTCTGCAACGCCATTTGCTTCAGGCGAGTGCGATGCAGTGGTCGTCTTCCAGAGACCTAATGCATGAATCTGTTCTACCATTCTGTTGGCAGTGAACTCTCCCCCGCAATCTGAATGTACTCGGAAGTACACTGCTATGCCTCCAGTCATGGACGATATTTGAGCCATGATGGAAAGCAATGCTTGGAGTACAGTGGCAGACTCCTTGTTCGGCAAAGTTCGAAGAAAGGGTAGCACGGTGCCATTGGAAAGCCTCAGGGCTGTGACAAGCATGTAACGGTGACCATCCACACTGACAGGGTGTGGACCTGACAAGTCCATTGACAGCACTCCGTTAGAAATGCTTTCGGCTGCCAGTCTGCGGTGGGGTCTTCTGTACCCTTTTGACTTCAGACAAGTTTCACACTGCTTGTCGTACAGCCCTTGCTCACAACGAGCCCTGAGCTGCTTCAAGGCTTCTTGTTCTGGTGTTGGAACATCATCGGGCAACGTCCCATCTTCCAGATCTGTCCCGTCATCCAAGTCAATGGCAGCAGGTGAAACTGCAGCCTTGCAGGTACTGCACTGACTGGAAGACGCACCCTCTTCTTGGATGCCTGTTTCGGGGACAGGGAAGCCAAGTGCCAGCAACTTCTTTCCGAAGGCATTCATCTCTTCCAAGTCAGATCCCCCTTTGGAAGAAATGGAAAAACCATCTGAGCTGCACACCGCAGGTCCCCGACCGGGAGAAGCAGTAGGACTAGGAGCCCTCTGCTCTGACGTAGAGGAGCTCGGCAAAGGACCTGGGTGCTCAGCGCGTGGCTCATGCAGATTAGCTGCTTGGCATGAAGTAGGCTTCCCTTTCCAAAGCTTAGCCAGCCTCCTCCTTAAGGGCTGGAAATCTGTCCAGCTGAGGTAAGGCAAACGGTTCTTGACCAAAACATCGACTTCGCGGATCTGTCCGTTCTCTTGGGGACCACCATCTGGTGATGCAGATTATTTTCCTGGGAGTCCAGTACCCAAAAATAATGTTGAAATCACCGATTTGATCCGATTTGCACATACAAAACCCTGCGTCCCTTCGAACCCAGGAAAACAATTTTGGTTCAAAATATGACAAAAATATTTCAAGATTATTTTGCAAACGTCCGGCCACAGGAAAGTAATGTTCATGGGGGGGGAGTTCAGTGGAACATATATGTACGTCAAACCCCAGGAAAAAAATGCCCCATGATTATTTGAGGGGGCATGGTTCTTTACATGACTCTAAAAGGTTGAGGCTCAGCTGTTATTCTTCCGTTTGAGGGGGTATGGTCCTTCAGCTGGGCGCGGCCTCGGCTCGCTGGCGTTTGAATGGTCCAACGGGGTGTTACAACGGGGAGACACAACGGAAGAATAACAGCTGAGGTTTCGGCGGCACAATAAGGAGCAGGAAATGGGGAAACACAACGGGAGAACCACAACGGGAAAGTGATGCAAAATGAGAAATGTCACTTTTATAAATTTCAATGCTTTTTAAAAAGTAGACTTCTTTCAATAAATTATATCCACAATCAGGTTTAAAACATTCAGTGGGTCATTCTCAAGGTATTGCCATGAAATTTTGAAAGTTTTTTTTTCAATTTTTTTTTGGTCAAAATATGTTGAAAAATGAGATTTCTATCCATAAATTCAATCCACAATGAGGTTTAAAACATTCAGTGGGTCATTCTCAAGGTATTGCCATGAAATTTTGAAAGTTTTTTTTTCGAAATTTTTTTGGTCAAAATATGTTGAAAAATGAGATTTCTATCCATAAATTCAATCCACAATGAGGTTTAAAACATTCAGTGGGTCATTCTCAAGGTATTGCCATGAAATTTTGAAAGTTTTTTTTCCTCGATTTTTTT